TCCTCCCAGCGCACGCGGTAGCACATGACTGTGTCCTTGGGACGCACCGTCTGGATGAAGAAGTGCAGTGCGCGCCCATCGGCCGTGCGCGAGCAGCCAAGTAGGGCGCCGTCGCGGCTGCAGGAGTCGAGGTCCAGCGCACCGGAGCGGAAGGCCAAGCGGAAGACCTGCTCGCCCTTCTGGTTGCGGATGGAGAACCCGCCGCGGTTGAGGTCCAGCAGCTCCGCGCGCAGGCGTTCCGCCTTGCGTAGGGAGGCGCTGTAGTAGCACCAGGCAACGACCGCGGCCAGCACCAGCAGCAGCCCCAGCACCGCGGAGCCCAGCAGCGGCTTCAGCTCTTTGGACTGCTTGGGCTTGGAGGGAGAGAAGTTGTCTGGCAGGAAGGTGTACATGGCTGCGGTTGCGACAGCCTCAAGGTTCTTAGGGCCTGTGTGGCAACTAGGGCGGCGGCGGGGGTAGGCCTGGCTCTTCTCCTCAGGGTTCTTGGGCATCAGTCCCCGGCTAAGGAAGGAACGGAGAATCGGGCCACCCGACCAAGCCCATCTGAACCTGGCTTGCCCGGTCTGAAATGGGGAGAGAGAGAGGGAACTGAGCTTTCTCATTCCATACATAGTATTTCTGTTTGCTGCAGTAAGATAGAGGTGTATAGTTTGGGGAGGTGTATAATGGGACCTAAGGGCTTGATGAGTGGCAAAGATGAGACTCCTACCAGGACAGTCTGTCTGTGCCTTACCCGCCCTTTCTCATGGACTCCAATGCTTGCCAGAATTAATCAGGACTCTGAATGGTGGAGAAACAAACCCAAAGAGGGACAGGGAGTGTCCAAGATCACGATAAGTCAGGCCTTGCTGGATCACACATGGGGCAGTTGGAGCTGGAGAGAAGGTGAGAGAACTGGAGAGGGCCTGGTCTCCTAGAGGTATGGCCACAGTGAGAGAGGGAGGATGGTCCAGTCAGGCCTAGAGACTTTTAACAGGGCAGTAGGGTGGCTTCCCTGTCCCCAGAGATGGAGAGGAGAGAGGAAGGGGGTACAGCTCAGGCATGGAATTTGATCTTAAGTCAGAAGCCAGATGAAACCTGGAGATTAAAGAAGCCAACCAAAGCCAGACTCAGTCCCAGGCCCTGGTTGGGAGGGAGGTAGGATTGGGTTCAGACATTAGGGCTGGGGTCAGGAGCCCTGGTATGGGGGCCATGGGCTTCTTAGATGTCCCCCACTTTGCCCTCAAACTCTATCCTGCTCTAAGCTATCAATCACCAAGTCCATTTACCTACCCTACTTCCTGCTCTGCTCCCAGCACCACATCTGTGGGCCAGCTGTCTCCTAGCTCTGTCTCTACCACTTACCCATTGTCCTGCTGCCCCTGCCCTAGTTTGGGCAGTGTCGCTTCTGCTTCTGTCCTGTATTATTGAAACACTTACCCAGTAGGCCTTTCTGGCCCCACTTCTTTCCCTCCGGTGCCTTCCGCTCACAGCAACCATAGAGGTTTTTTTAAAGCACTTATCAAACCGTGTCTATCACTAGCTTTGAGAGCTGCTCACGACCCCCATGATGAAATTCAGAAGTGTAATCTTTGCAATCAAGGCTGGAGGCATGCTGTGTTCTCAGCTACCATTCTGATTCCATTTCTAGCCAGGCCTATCTTGTGACTACCAATCTCATTTCTTCCCCAACCTAAATCCTTCAGGCCACCTACTTCAGGAGATTTCACCCACCCAGCTTGGGCCATACCTCTTCTCCACCTATCAGGTCTTCAGGGATCAGACACCCACCACTGCACACATGAACTCTCACACATTGTATGCTAAACATCCAGGCACGACTAGGGAAACATAACCTTGGGGGAAGGTGTGTACTGCTCAAGGTCACTGACCCTTTCTGTCTCAGCCTTCAGGGCAGAGTCCAATGAAGAAATAGCACCAGCCAGATGTACACACAGGCATACACACCGCCAGCCAGCCAGTGACACAACTGCTCCAGCTTGGGAGAAGAAGAGAGGAAGACTGGCAGTGATTAGCCTCTTCCCAGATGCCAATGTATGTTCTAAGTCCCCAGCAGCTTCCAACTACTCAGGTTCTTCACCTCCCACACCTCCCTCATGCAGAGACTGTCAAGAATGCCAGGTGCAGGTCAGAATTTTGATCCTAGATTTCAGTACACAGCTCCCTGCCCCCAGCTTCTCCCTCAAGGTGCTAGCTCAGGGCCTCATTCCCAGTGCCCCCCCCCCCCCAACTCCCTTAGCTAGTCTGGAACAACTTCTTATTCCCTTCCTCTCAGCCAACACAACCTAACCTTCCTGTAGATACAGGTTAGAAAAGCCCTCCTGGAAAACACAGGCAGTGGCCTTTTCCTAATGCCCTCAAGCTCAGTAGAACCCAAAGAAGACCTTAAGGCAGCTCAGGTCCTCCTTGCTGTATGTTTATATTCATTCATTCAAGGCAACCAAGGCCTCATTCTGGGCTCCAAGGGAATAGAGAGAGTCCAGTCCAGATCTAAATAAAACAGGGACGCCCTCATCCTCAAAACTTTCCTATTATCAGCCTAACTCATGACCCCTGGAGGCATGAAGAGGCCACCAGGGTAGCCTCAAAAGCCATTTCTAACACTGGGGTTCTGAGAATCTTAATTTTCTAGGGTTCCAAGGTTTTTTGATGCAGGACAGGAGCCCACAGGTCTGGGCACCCATTCTGTTCATGCACCTGCTGGTCTCCCAAATGCTACCACAGCTTCCAACCCTAACAACAATGTGGAGCAGCAGACATAGCTACAGTGCCCATTTAACAGATGAAGAAACAATGGCCCAAACAGAAAAAGGAACTTATCTGAAGTCACCCTGGTAGCAAGGTTGCCTGGATCCAAAATCCTGACTAAACACTCCACAGCATAAGTTTCAGGAGATGAGAGATAATGGTCTGACCTGGCTGCCCGAATGCAGCAGCAGAAAGGAGCTATGTGGCTGATAGGGTGGGACAGGCTTCCATCAGATGGTTGTGGACATGGTCAAGCCTGTCTTTCCAAGAGCTGGTCCTGCTGTTTGCTCCAGGCAGACCAGGAAGAACTCCTAGGGGTGGAAAAGTGGCAACTTTAATGGCATCTGGTACCGGGGCTGTGGGGGAGGAACTTTGTGGTTCCGATGTTAGCAGTGGCGCTAGAGACCCCTGTAATCTGCCGCCTCCAGCGTCTGGTCAACCACAGGCTAACGCTAGCAGATGGGGACTGCGGGGTGGACCCCATGGGCTCTGTTCCTGCCGAGCCTCTCCTCACTCTACACTCAACCTCTGACTTGGCTGCCAGCCCCCAGTCTGGTCTGAGGGGGAGCGACCGGTCCGGTTCAACTGAGGGGAGACAATTCTAAGCAGAGTCGTTTGTCTGACACAGTTCCCAGGGGGATGGAAATGTCAAAGGCAACTCGATCCGGCCCGTCTCCCTCCCCTGCCGGGTGACGGGATCTGCAGGGATCGAGTGACTGCGCCTACACAGCCCGGAATACTCCACACCCACCCTCCGCTCCTCGCCCTACAGCTGCACAGTCCGAAGAGGCAGACTGAGGTCAAAGAACCTGTCGCCCGCTGGAAACTGCGGGCCCGAGGAGGGGCCCAGGTGTTCAGGCTCGCTCCACTCAATCGGGAGGAGCGAAGGTTCAGGAATCGTGTTCCCTCAGCATGCCCCCCTCCCCAGGTCCTCCCATTGGGCTCACTCACGGCAGTGACGGCCCAGCAGAAGCGGGGGTGACGGGAGCCTCCCGCAGATCCCCTCCGTGTTAGCAGGAGTTGAGCGCCTAGGCGCCGCGCGGGGCGCTGCCTGGCTCCACACAGCGGAGGCCCTCCCTCGGCCCCGCCCTCGGGCTGCTCGGCCACGCCCCAGCCGTCCAGTCTCGCTCCGGGCTTCTGAGTCCAGCCCCGCCCCTGGCGCTCGACCCCTCCTCCGTGTCGTCACGCGGGCCTGAGGTCCCGCCCTTACCCCCCACCTTCTTCCCAAGGCTCTCGGCACAGCCTCCGGCATCTCAGGCCCGCCACTTGTCACTTGCCTCCTGGCTCCGCCTTCCACCTGCGGGCCCGCCCCTGCTGGGCCACCGCTAACCCGCAAGCCGGCGGGGCTCGGTCTTGGGCCTGTTGGGAAATGTAGTTCTTGGAGAAGGGAGCAGTCTCTGAATCTTGGGATTATTGCACCTTCAGGCTAGGTTTGGGATGTGTAGGAGAGAGCCACAGGGTAAAGGGGCAAGGCTGGCCTTTGGAATTCCCTTTCCTCCAGGTTTGGGCAGAGGAAGGTCGTGTCGGCATAACGCTCTCACGAGCCTTTAGTTTTCTCATATGGAAAAGGAATTGCGGAATTCCGGGAGGAGCTCAGAGTCCAGTGCAAGGCGATTCCAATCAAAGGCCCCACGGAGGTAATAAGCTCCAACCAGTCGGTAGTTCCAACCAGCCTGGAGGCCCAAGCAGTCAGTTCCCGTCGACCAGACCAGCGGTGTCCGGTGTCCGAGGCCAGGGACTGAGAAGACCGGTTTCCGCTGGGTCCTTTTAACGCCCCTTCCCCCCAGCCCCAACCTACATTTATAGAGTCCAGCGTCTCCGCGTAGTGACAGCCTTTAGTTAGAATGTCCGTGCCGCGGGAGCTGGGCGTGCCCCACTGTATCCCTTCCCCCGGGGGCGGGGTGTTGTGTAAGACTGAAGTTTCATTTCTTTGATGAAGAAAGGAAAATACTGAAGATCCCAGAGATTCCAGAACACCCCACCCCTTGCTTCCTGAGGGGCAGAGAAACAGGGCTTTGTTTTGCAATTTGAAATTTCTTTTCTTTTCTTTCTTTTTTTTTTTTTAAAAGATGACTGGTAAGGGGATCTCAACTCTTGGCTTGGTGTTATCAGCACCACGCTCACCCGGTGAGCTAACCGGCCATCCCTATACGGGATCCGAACCCGTGGCCTTGGTGTTGTCAGCACCGCACTCTCCCGAGTGAGCCACGGGCCGGCCCAAATCTTAATGGGCAAGGACACAGGAGGCAGCCTTTGGGGGTGAAGAGTTTATTTACTGTTCCGCCCCCTTGGTCTGGCCAGCCCAGGCTCTACCAGCAACGGTACTCGGGATAAGTCTCGGACACAAACTCAGGGTGGACGACATAGTTGTTTCTCTGAGGACCACCGGACTTCTTGAAGTGACTTGTGTCCCATCTGTGGGAAGAGATGAGTCAACCATTTTGGACCCTAAAACGTCAAAGTGAACATCGGACTCCGATACTCAATGCCAACCTTATCCCAACATTTTGCCGCTAACGCTGACCTTCTGACCTCAGGTTATACCGTTAAATTTCTTATACCCAATACCGCTTCCTAACATTGACTTCTTTTCTTTACTTCAAGCCCTGAACCCAACGCCCTTGACTCTAAGCCCAGTGATAACCTGTAACCCTTCAAACCCGGCCTCCTTGCCTTCTCAGAGGGTCCTCCATCCATTTCCTTGCCATCTTTGACTTCCCCATAGTACTAGCTCCCCCTGGTGGCATCTTCCGGTCAATGCCTCGCAGCGGACAGTCCCCACTCCAACTGTGCCCCCCAGCCCGCCCCCCGCCGCGTGTGCGCCCGACTTACCTAAGGTTCGGATACGGGGAGTATGACGGCGGGGGAGTCGTAACTGCACATTGCATTCCGGGCCGGTGCTCGTAGGGCGACACACTCCTGAAGGAGAAAGCGGTGGGCAGGGAGGGGTCGGGCCTTTTGGTATCCTCCTATTCCGCAATCCAGATTAAGCGTCTGGGCGGTGCTTCAGGCATCAGTCCCATGGCTTGGAGATCCTCCCCTCCGTCCTTGCCCTTCAAGACCCCACTGCGGTACCGCCTCCAGGAAGCCCCTGGAAGTCCCCTCCCTACTAAGGCCTCGTTTCTGCTGCCCAGGGCGGGAGGTGGAGAACACTGTATTCTGGGAGGGTGGGGCTCCGGTCGTTGAGGACCTGGTAGCCCCGGATCCCCGCCGTGGGACAGCAATTTCTCCAGCACTATGGACAGGTAACGTTTCTTTTTTTTTTTTTTAAAAAGATGACCGGTAAGGGGATCTCAACCCTTGGCTTGGTGTTGTCAGCACCATGCTCAGCCAGTGAGCGAAGCGGCCATCCCTATATAGGATCCGAACCCATGGCCTTGGTGTTATCAGCACCGCACTCTACCAAGTGAGCCACGGGCCGGCCTGGACAGGTAACGTTTCTGAGCCTCCTAAAGGCTCAGGCACTTTCCCACTCCCCTATGCCTTTGTGAAGGAGAACACCCAGTCTCGAACAATGAATCAGGCTCTCTAGGCCTGGGGAGGGGCGGGAGATCGCCATGGACCCCCTCTGCACAGCTCTAGATTGCTGCAGATATGGGGGTTCTCCCACGCTCAGCCTGCCTTGTCTGCCGCTGGGTGCAGGACCAATGCTGAGCTGCAGCCTGGGCTCCGGCTGTGCGCTCGGGCCCCAGTGTCCTTAGCGGTAACACGCGAGGGTGTTTACCTCCGGAGGTGCTGTGGGGCTCTGAGGAGGCCAGGACCGCTCTGGTAAAGCGGTCACCATTCCCTTGCTTATTTAGCGCCTGGCAACGTCCCCACCCACTGCTGACGGTGTCCCGAGGCCCAGGAAGAAAGCACATTTTTCTGGGAACACATGGCACTCCGCAGGCTAGAACCTGCGTCTCCAGGGCCAAATGTCCAGGTAGGGGGACAGGACTGGTGGGTGTGGGAAGTGTGGGAAGAGGATGCGACTGATGTGTAGGGTTTTTTCCTCAGATCGCTCCTGCAGGACCTCCAGAGCATATACAACAGCTGGGCTGACCTTGAACTCAGTTTGGGAGTGACAGGGTCGGGGATTTGGAGTAACCTTCATGTCGGTTCTCCCGCCTTAGCTGTTCGGCCCGGCCCTGGGGCCCTGTAAGCGGGCACATCTGGGCTGGAGGCCGGCGGGGTGCTGGCATAGAGGCGGGGCAAGGCTAGAAGGGGGCGGGATGGAGCGCGCGTAGCCGGGTGGGGCGGGGCTCTGGGGGCGGGGCTCAGCCAAGGCAGGCGGAGCCCTGCGAACCTTACAGTCGGCAGCTCTGCGCACAGAGGCCGCAGGCGGCGTTCGGTGCAGGGCGCCCCGGTGGCGTGGTAGTCCATCCCGCGCAGACAGTAGTGGCGTCCTGAGCAAGCGCTTTCGTAACCCCGGAAGGGCAGGCGGCCCGGCAGCGGGTCTACGCATCCACATCGGTGCGCGATGTGCGGCAGCTGCTGGTTCCGTGACAGCGAGTTCAGCATGTTCACCACTACCTCGCGCTCTGCGAACGCAGGTCCCGAGTCCAGGAGACCCAAAGACAGAGTCACAGAGATAGGATGAGACAGGGTCAGAGACAGAGAGGGGCGGCGACCAAAACAGATAGAGACAGGGTTACACTCTTTCCAGGACCCTCGCTCTCAGCCCCGCATCCCAGTTCCCCATCCCACCCTCCTTCTGGCCTCCCCTTGCCCTCTCTCTACCCGTTCCTCTCCACTGCCCCACCACCTCCCTTTACCGTAGGCATTGAGCCGCTCCGGCTTTGGAGGGCACTCCAAAGGCATTCCTCGAACTACTGTCTCCATCCCGGCCTCCTGGAAGTGGCACACACACTACCTCAAGCTCTGACCTGGAAAAGTTGCTCCCTTTTGGGTGTCCTCCCAGAACACCAAACCTGTCCCCAGGCCGTGCCTTCTCCCGCCCCTCAGCAACTCCCCTACTCCCAAGGCTCTCAGTGTTTGGTTGTCGCCAGGCAACGCGTTTACTCCGCCTATGGGGGGACAGGTGGGGTGGGAAGGACTGTAGGTGGGCAGGGTTTGGTTCTGGGTCTCTGACAATCCTGCCTCAGCGTTTGCCTTTGATTTTATCCCTCTTCGTCTATCTGACTCTGTCTAGCTGTGTCTAGATGTCTCTCTAATAGGGAGTTTTCAATTTTGCCTGCCCATCAGAATCACCTGGGGAACTTGTGAAAAATTCCAATTCTTAAGGAAGTTTTAATTCAAAAGGGCAACCCAGGGTCGGCCAACAGCTTACAGCTTATCGATAAGAACCCCTGCTCTAGCCTTGGCTCCTCTCACATTCCCTCTGGCCTGGGGCTGTGGCTGGACTGCTCCATCACCTTGGAAGATCAAATTTGCGGTGCTACTGAGTAGCTTTGTTCTACCCTTGTGTCTTTGCTCACATTACAAAAGAGGGGAAGGTGGAGCAGGGAGACTCCATCACTGACTCCTTGGCCAGCCTCAGTGTCACAGGGGCCAGACGACCAGTTGGCAAGCCTCAGGAAGATAGCATGTCAAGGAATGCACCCAGCCTCCTCACCACAGAGCCTGATCAGAGTTTGGGACCCAGAGGACCTAGTCCCCAGAGATTGGGACCCAGGGACTAAGCATATCCCCACTCCTGGACTCCCTTTTCAGCTAAAAATATACAAATCCTAGTTTCACTGATGGGGAAGAGTCCTGGAGCCTTGTTGGTGGGAAATGGATGAGGAACTAATGAAGTAGTGGTCACTGTGGTTTGAGAGGTTGGGGGGTGGGGTGTCCCAGACCCCAGGCATCTGTTTTGGGCACAGTAGGTACCTTAGGCAGCCGGGGAAGATAGGTGGCATACTTGTTCCAGCAGGTGTTGTAAGGTCCTGTCCTCCACGTGCTGTATCGGTCACCCAGGTAGTTTGGGCTGCATCCGTCTGCTTGATCATAGGGGTGGAGACATCAGATCACATTACTCCTTACTCCATCCCAGGATCTGTGGCCCCCTAGATGTTTCTCTTCTGATCCCCAGCACAAAGCTGACCCTCACTGACCTCTCTCAGGCCAGATCCCAAGCCTAGCCTGACCCCACACTTGTCTTAGTTACTGAGATATAGCCCATGTCCCACCTAAGGTAAACTTCTGAGTGAGGTCTGGATCCATTGTGCTGATCACTTTTCATCCAAGAACTACTGTCTTTGAATCAGCCAACCTGGAAATGGGCTCTTCTCCCAATTCCTTCCTCTCTTTCACCTTCCACATCCAGCCTCCAAAGTTTGCCTTTTCTGCCTCCTTAAAATCACTTGAACCGGGCTGGCCTGTGGCTCACTCGGGAGAGTGTGGTGCTGATAACACCAAGGCCACGGGTTCGGATCCCATATAGGGATGGCCGGTTGGCTCACTGGGTGAGCGTGGTGCTGACAACACCAAGTCAAGGGTTAAGGTCCCCTTACCGATCATCTTAAAAAAAAAAAAAATCACTTGAACCTATCTCCTCTTCCAGTTCCCCACGATCTCACTCCCATTTCTCTGTGATTTCTTAACCAGGAGACAATATAATGTCATGGTTAATAGAACGAACTCTGCAGATAGACAGCTTGGGCTCAAATTTCAGTTCCGTCAATTATTAACTGTGTGTAAACTTGGCCAAGTTAATTAATTTTGGTATGTCTTTTTCCTCAACTTTATTATTATTTTTCTTTTCCTTTTTTTAAAAAAAAATTTGTTTCCTCAACTTTAAAAAGAGGGTAATAGTACTCTTTACCACATAGTGCTGTTGTGATGTTTAAATGAGTTAATGTGTGCAAAGCTCTTAGACGAATGCCTGGTTCATAAAAAGTTATCATGATTAGCGTACTGGTCTCCTTGCCTCATCTTTGAAATCCTATAATCCAGCCTTAACATAGAAACTGTGGTACTTTTTTACAAATTAAAAATTGACCAATATACTTCTCAACTTAAAACCCTTCAAAGTCTACCACCCACTCCCACCCCCAATCATTTAAGCCTGTCCTACAAGGCCCTCCACGATCCGTTCCCCCAACGCTCTGAAAGAAAACGTGTGAGATACATGGAAGAGCAGGTGTGTGAGAGGAGGGGGTGGGGTATTGGGATTTGGAGTTCTGGGTTGGTGGGCTGGACATACTAAGTTTGAGGTATTTGGGGACATCCAGGTAAAGATAACCATAACCAGATGAAGGAGAGTAGAATTCTGACGAGGTCAAGGCTGGAAATAAAGACTTGGAACTGTCGGTAATTAAAGCCATGAGTTAGATAAAATAGCCTCAGGGGAGGAGCAAGGAGAGAAGAGGGCTCAGGATAGCACCCTGAGGAACCCCACGTTTTCATAGTGAGTGCACAAGACACTCAGGAAAGTGAGGCATCAAAGATGCTGAGGGAGAAAGTAATTTCAAGAAGTAGAGCGTGGTCAGAAGAGTGAAATGCATAGTGTAAGTCTCATAAGGTAAAGACTGAAGAGTCCCATGGGTTTGGTAATTAGAAACACTTAAGGGCAATTTTAGTGTTTCAGTGTAGGAGATGCAGACTACATTCCCGACTTCAATTGGGAATTATCAACAAATACTTATGAGCCTGGTGCTGTGCTAGATGGAGAAGGCTCAGTTGTGAATAAGACAAGACTTTCTGCTCCTTTGGAATGTACGGGGAGACAAATCAAAAACACCTAGCCAAGTGAGAAAGAGAACTTCTCATAAGGTGTAGGAAGAGGTGAGGAAGTAGTGAGTATAGACTATGCTTCTGGGAGTCTTGTCCGTGAGGGAGAGGAGCAAGAGAGAAATTTTAGTCAGGAAGAAATTAGAAAAGGTTCTGGGGTGATGGAAAGAGGTCTGGTGGGGCAGAGGGATGCAGGAAGGATGGAGAGAGTGGAAGGAACAGGGCTGCTAAGAAGATGGGAGGAGATGGGAGGATTTGTCTGTACTCTTTCCATCTCTCTAGGGATGAAACTCAAGGCTCTTCCATGTCTTTTTTCACAGACGGGGAACTCCCAAAAGCCAGGGTTTGGATCATCTCCTCCATGGCCAGGGTCAAATCAGGTGGTTGGGAATCAGGCTGAAGTGGGGGTTGGTTAGGGAAGAAGCTTAGGTCATTGTGTGGTGATAAGGTTGATGTAGGATCAGGATGAAGGTCAGGATCCAAGTTGGGTTCAGGTTGAGAGTCACTGTTGGGTTACTTCTGGGGTCAGAGTTGGGTAAGGCGTGAGGCCCTACCTTCCTCTTGAGAGAGCCAGTACTTCTCAGGTAAGTAGGGGTGGCCCGGTATGGAGCCCTTATAGCTGTAGTCCTGTGTGGTGCATTTGACCATCTTCTGCAGGGCTTCAGGATCCACGTGGCGCTGTGCAATTTGAGTCAGACCCTGGGCAAGGGAGAGGGAAGAAGTGGCTAGGTGCATAAAGACCCCAGTCCTGGGTCTTGTTGGACCTAGTTCAATCCCCTCTTGAGAAAGTCAGCCCAGGTGGGTCTCCCAAGCCTTCTTCCTATGCCAGAGGGATACCCACGCCAGCCTTGCCCCTCTGCACAGTTTGAATCACCCTTTCCTCCTTTCTTTCCATCCAAGACTGGGGCTTGGAGCCAGGCCCTTGCCCTCAGCCAGAGTGGTTTTCTGGCTTTCTCATTTCTGTTATTTCCTGACTGGGAGTTCTTGAAGGTCAGAGCTGAGTGTTTCTGCTCTCTTTCTTTCAGACTGTGTGCTTCCTGGGAGCAGAGCCTGAATCTCCTCTACTAGAGCAACAGACCACTGGCCAATCTGGAGCCTCAGGAAAGGCTGGCTGCCTTGGGAGCTGGCTGCCTTATGCAGGTGTCTTGGTCAGGAACAGCTCTCTGGGAACTTGGTACCTTGAAGGAGCCAAAGGATGGGGCTGGAGGGGCACCTACTTTAAAATTTAATTCCCTGACTCTAGTTCTGCTGTGGCTCTGACCCTGACGCCAATGTTACCGTTGATCCTGACCCCCACTTTGCCCTGGTCCTCATCCTGACCTTTTTTCTGTTCTTGATTTAGGCGCTGGGACTCTCTGCTTCTTGGGGTTCACCTTATCTCATCCTATCATTCCTTGTTGGGCTAGGTCTGTGGAATCCCAGACCAAGGCCTTCTTTTGGTAACCCCTTGTCCTTAGCTGAGAGCAGAATACCAACTTAGTTGTGGGTCCACAGGTCTCTGCAGGCAGTGGTCTGAAAAGGCACCTGGGTCACAGGGGGTGGAACACTCAGTAAGGTCAGACACCAGAAAGGGCTTTCCCATATGGGCAGTGAGGTGCTGGGAAGGTGACTTACGATCTTAAGAGCAGATGCTTCTCTTGGTCAGGGCTGAGACTTTGTTGCTCTCAGTGCTCCAACCACTCTGAAAATCCCTCAGCTTAGGGGTTTCTGGGATCATCTGTGCCCAGCTGACATTTTGTTCTGTGGGGAGATCCTGCACAGTCACACTCCCATGTGGGTGGAGGGCAGAATATGAGAGATGTAGATGCAGGGCCCCGTGGCTTAGCACTTCCGTGAGCTTTACACACACACACACACCCCTATGCAACCAGATACACTTGTAGACACACACAAACAGATGTACACCCACACATACACAGTCACACACTAAACGGAGATGTAGATGCAGGGCCCCGTGGCTTAGCACTTCCGTGAGCTTTACACACACACACACACACACACCCCTATGCAACCAGATACACTCGTAGACACACACAAACAGATGTACACCCACACATACAGTCACACACTAAACACTCAGATACACGCATACTCACAAATACAAAAACAGTCATTTAGAAGGATTCAAAAGCATTATCGATTTTTCCATTAAAGGCTTTCCTCAGATGTCTGCAATCTGTGTTTGTTCATGTTCATGAATAGGAGATTTAAAAAAGCTTATCAGAGGCTTTGAGTTATGGGTGGACTTTGGCAACCATGGGAATCTCTGTAGGATGATCTAGGTGGACTATTTTTTGTAAACTCTCATCTCACTATCTGTAGGTCTTTCCTTTTGGGCTCATCAGATTCTTTAGAAGAGACTCCTTCAGTCTTTGGCTTGGGGTAATGACCTAACTGCCAGGGTTCTGAGAACCTAGTGCAGTGGAGGGCTGGGGGTTTTAGCATTCAGTATAAGGAGGTTCACATTTTTTTTTTCAGTATTGTATCCTGTCCTCAACTGGTATCCCCAGTCCTGAGATATTTGCCAAGAAATAAGCCTTTTGATTTTTGCAGAGAGAGGTGGGCAGTCACCCCATGGCATGGAATAGAAGAGGGAATTAGTAGGTTTAACTGCTTCTTTTTTTTTTTTTTTTTGGTGACTGGCAAGTGAGGGGATCTGAACCTTTGACCTTGGTGTTTTAACATCATGCTCTAACCAACTGAGCTAACCAGCCAGCTCCCTGGGTTTAATTGCTTCTTAAATGGCTTTCAAATAATTCTTGTTTTAGCCCTGGTATTGTCCCGTCTTCCGTTCCAGAGAAACCTAGGATTACCAACTCTTGAGACTTTTGGAAATTCTGCAGTATTAAGTTGAATTATGTTTTGGGTTTTCCATTGCTGGCTTTGGATTCAGCTTTCTCAGATCTGCTGAGTCAGTTATTACTTATCTATCATAATTGACAGCTCCCCCAATTTGGTTGCCATTGTTCCTTCTTTCTCAACATCCTTGCAAATCCATGTCTTAAATAACTATAGTTTTAGGAGGGTTTCAGGAAGGAGTCAAAACACATGTGTATTCAATTTTAAACTAGAGAATTATAGTTCTTTATATATTTCATGTAATAATCTTTTATCAGTAATATGTTGCAAATAACTTCTCTCAGTTTGTGGTTTCTATCTTTAATTTTCTTTACTGTGTCTTTTGGTGAGCTGAAGTTTCTAATTTTAACATAGTTGAATTTATTAATCTCTTCTTTTATGGTTAATTGCTTTTGTGACTTAACAAATCTATCTATACTCTCAGAAAATGGAGATAATGTCCTGTACAAGTATTTTCTTCTAAAAGCTACACAGTTTTACTTTCCATATTTAATCTGCCAGGAGTTGCTTTTTAGGTTTGATGTAAGTTAGGGATCAACTTTATTTTTATCTGTATAGATAACCAATTCTCCCATTGAGTAGTCTGTTTTTCCCCACAGATTTGTAATGCTGCCCTGAGCCTGATATATCTTTTTCCATAGCTTTATTTTCAACCATCTCTATTGTATATTGTTTCCATATATGTACAGGTATATTTCTGTTAAATTCTACTCCATAAGTCAATTTGTCTATCTCTGTATTAATACTATGCTTTTTGAACTTTGACAGCTTTGTAATAAATATTAATATCTGATTGGGCAATTCCCCTTCTTGTTCTGGTGTAGTTTAGCTAATTCTTGGGCCTTTGCTCTTCTCTAAATTTTTGAGACAGCTTGTCAAGTCCTTCGAAAAATCCTGTTGGGATTTTAATCAGAATTGCATTGAGTCTTTATGATAGTAATTCTTCCTATCCATAAACATGTTATATCTCTTCATTTATTTAAGTATTTTTTAAGGTATTCAATAAAGTTTTATATTATTCATATAGTTTTGTACACATTGTTAGATTTACTTTTACTTATGTTTATTTCTTTGTTGCCAGAATAAATGATACATAGTTTTAAAAT